TGCGTGTTTGAATATTTGAATGTATTGTTCGAGCAAAGATTATAGCGAAGTTTTTGAGCCAAAGTTACTTGGTTGTTCTTCGAGTAGTATCTTTTATACTGGGGTTGTCTTCCCGTTGGAGGAGGACAACTGCATTAAATGCGCAAACAGTTGACTTGACCAGTAGGACCCGGTAAAGTTGGCGAGTTGCTATTTTGAGATAAAGATATCCTGAAATATCCTGGAATGTTGGCCAATCATCAGCTTTTACTCTTCAGGGTACGGGGTGCATTAAATGTGCATTTAATGCGCGTACTGTAGCTTTTCCGTTGAAGTCTTCTAGCCGTTGAAGGAATCTTCCGTTGGTTTCACCGGCTGAAGTAGTTTCATGAAAATTCTCTAAGTGTCAGGTCTTCTGGTGTTTGTAGCAGAGGGTCAACCAGAGAGGGTCTCGAGCACTTCTGTTGGGATAAGCTACCAGAGGGTCCTTAGGTCTGCTGTCAAGGTGCGAGCCAACAGAGGGTCTTGACAGATTCTGTTGTAGAGAAGTCCATCAGAGAACCAGGATGTCTTCTGTCTGGATATGAACCAACAGAGAGCCAAAGGTGTTCTGTTCAGATTAAGTCTATCAGAGGGTCTTCTGTCAGTCGATTATTCTAAGAAACTTTACAAAGAAAATTTCTAATACAAGAATTCTAACAAGAGGTACTCTAAGATCCTAATAGATATAGCATCATCAAAATCTAATTACAATTATTCCTTACACATATGGTACTTCGGGACCGAGTATTTCTTCATTGTCTTCTCGGGGGCGGAATGGATCATCGTGTATGTTGAGAGATCTAATCACCATTGGTGAAGTCAACGGATGAGCTTTGTCCATATAGAATCTCTTCAAAACTTTCTCGGTGTAATTGGATTGATGAATAAAAATTCCATCCTTCAAATGCTCAATTTGAAGTCTGAGACAAAATTTGGTTTTCCCGAGATCTTTCATTTCAAATTCTTTCATAAGATATTTTGCAGTATTTTTAATCTCATCGGAAGTTCCAATAATATTTAAGTCATCAACATATACTGCAATTATGGTGAATCCTGAATTTGATCGCCGAATGAAAACACATGGACTAATTGGATCATTCTTATATCCTTTTTTGAGAAGGTATTCATTGAGACGATTATACCACATTCGTCCAGATTGTTTTAGTCCATACAATGACTTCTGTAGTTTTATGGAAAACATTTCTCGAGGTTTCGAGCTGTAAGCTTCAGGCATTTTGAATCCACCGGGAATTTTCATATAAATGTCTGTATCGAGTGAACCGTATAAATATGCAGTCACGACATCCATTAGGCGCATTTGCAACCTTTCAAAAACAGACATGCCAATGAGAAACCTTAATGTAGTTGCATCAACTACTGGAGAATAAGTTTCTTCATAATCTATTCCCGGCATTTGTGAAAAACCTTGGGCAAAAAGTCGGGCTTTATATCTTACAATTTCATTTTTCTCATTACGTTTACGCACAAATACTCGTTTAAATCCCACTGGTTTTACGCCTTTTGGCGTATGGACAATTGGTCCAAAAACATCACATTTTTCAAGCGATTTCAATTCAGCCTGAATTGCTTCATTCCATTTTGGCCAATCGTGTCGCTTCCGACATTCTTCTATTGATGTTGGCTCATTGTCATTGTTTTCATTCATAACATTTGTGGCAACGACATAGACAAATATCTCATTAATATCAATATCTTTTCGATTCCATTGCATTCCAGTAGAAACATAGTTTATTGAAATTTCATAATTATCAACGTTTCTATCGTTATCTGGAATATCTTCCTCGTTTAAGGAAGTTAGATCATCATTTGAGATGTTTGTTTTGTCAATATCATTTTCTATGCCAGTATTTTCAAATTGTTCATTTTCTTGTTCAGAAGGATGAACATCTTTGGCATCACAAATCAATTCCTACCTTTTAGTTTTTCTTGGTTTTATATCTTTTGATCCAAGTGGCCTGCCACGTTTTTTGCGTATAGAAGAATCATTTGCAAGAGATTTTTCAGAATTCTCTGCTGCGATTTCGTATCTGTGAATGCATCACGCAACTGATTTGCAACATTTTGTAAATGGATTATCTTATGCACCTCTTGCTCACATATATTTGTTCTTGAGTCAAGATGTAATAATACTGTTGCATTCCATGTAATCTCTTTCGTACTTGGGTCTAATTTATTATTATCTCCCATAAAGTAGGGAATACTGTCTCATTGAAATGACAGTCTGCAAACCGTGCGGTAAATAAATCACCGGTCATAGATTCGAGATATTTTATTATTGAGGGAGATTCAAATCCAACATAAATTCTCAACCTTCTTTGAGGACCCATTTTTGTACAATGAGGTTGAGCAATTGGAACATAAACAACACAAGCAAGTATTTTTATGTGTGCTAAGTTTGGTTCATGTCCAATAACTAATTGCATTGGGGAATATTCATGATATGCAGTTGGTCTAAGCCGAACTAAATTTGCTGCATGTAAAATAGCATGTCCCCTAGCAGATGAAGGTAGATTACACTTCATTAATAATGGTCTAGCGATTAATTGTAATCGTTTGATCAAAGATTCAGCAAGACCATTTTGTGTATGGACATGAGCAACAGGGTGCTCCACATCAATCCCAATCGACATACAATAGTCGTTAAATGATTGGGATGTAAATTCTCCTGCATTGTCAAGTCAGATTCTCTTTATAGAATGATCCAGAAAATGAGCTCTTAATCGTATGATTTGAGCAAGGAGTTTAGCAAATGCTAAATTTCTAGTCGATAAAAGACTAACATGTGACCAACGTGTTGAAGCATCAATCAACACCATAAAATATCGAAATGGTCCACATGGTGGGGCTATCGGCCCACAAATATCTCCTTGAATTCTTTCTAAAAATGGAGGTGATTCAGTTGCAATTTTGTTTATAGAAGGCCTGATGATCATTTTGCCAAGAGAACAGGCCTTACAAGGAAAATTACTTGATAATGGAACCCTGATATTCTTTAATGGGTGTCCAAGTGAGATCTTAATGATTTTATGCATCATTACCTAGCCTAGGTGACCTAAACGGTCATGCCACAACATGAATGTTTTCTGATTATCTAACTTTGTGTTAGAAACCAAATTTATTTCGAATGGACTAATATGAGTGAAATATAGTCCTGAGGAATATGCTGACATTTTTTCACAAATACATTTAGTGCCAAATTTAGTTGTCGTTAGACAAAGATATTCCTTTTGGTTTTCATTCACGGTTTCTATGTGATAACCATTTTGACGCATATCTTTAAAACTTAATAAATTCCTCCGCGATTTGCTGGAGTATAAAGCGTCATTTATAATTATTTTGGTCCCATTAGGGAGCATCACATATGCTTTCCAAGAGCCTTCAATGAGCTTCGCAACACCTGATATTGTATCGACTTTAGCTTCAACTAAAGTCATTTGAGAAAAATATATTTTATTTCTCAAAATGGTGTGCATTGTGGCGCTGTCTATCAGACATAGCTCTTTATCATTTGAATGATCCATATCTTCAATATATATAAATAAACATAAGCTTGATCACAAATTATGCATATTATTGTTCATAAGAGTGCATACATTACACACATTTATTTAAAAAAAAAATAAAAGAAAGAAAAAGTACATAAAACTAGTATTTTACAACATAAGGAGTCTACTATTTTATTTTGTAACATTTTGGTTTATGACAAAAGCATCGTCCATAATGACATCATCCGCAAAAAAAAATCGACTACTTCAAATTTTAGCATAGGTGGAGCTGTATCATTGACATAATTGGCTTCCACATTTTTGTCTTTGTTTAGATTCATGGAAGCTTGAAATAACTCCACCAGGTGTTTAGCCGTACGACACTTATTAGCCCAATTCCCCATCATACCACACTTGTAACAAGTCGTCTTTCCCGAGGATTTTGGAGGGCGATTTATTTGATGGGCTTTTTGTTTGGCATTGCCCTTGTAATTTGGTCTGTCGACCTGTTTACATCCTCGGTGAGGCTTGTTATTATGACCACTAAAATGCCCACGTTTAAAATGCCTTCGAGGGCCGCTGTGTTGCATTTGATTCAGTGGCTAAATTATGGCCAGATGGACCATAAATCGAAGGACTAGAACCGATGAGTCTCAAGTTGTGGTTCTTCATTAAAAGGTCATTATTTTGCTCAGGTACAAGTAAAACTGATATTAAGTCAGAGTATTTTTTAAAACTCTTTTCTCTATATTGATGTTGTAGCAGCATATTAGAAATATGCATGGTAGAAAAGGTTTTCTCCAACATATCAACATCAGTGACTTTTTGTCCACATAATTTTAATTTGGATATTATTTGGAACATAGCAGAATTATAGTCACTGATTGATTTAAAATCCTGGAATCTTAAATTGATCTAGTCGTACTGAGCTTTAGGCAAAAGTACCTTTTGTGTATGGTCATACCTCTCCTGTAAATTGTCCCATAATTCTTTTCGGTCATCAACCAAAAGATATTCAGATTTGAGACTTTCATGGAGATGGTGACGGAGAAAATTATAGCTTTCGCTTTATCCTGGAAAGATGATTGATTAATAGCCTCAATAGTGTCTTTGAGACCATTAGCCTTCAAATGTGCTAAAGTATCAACTTTCCATTCCAGATATTTTTGACCGGATAGATCAAGAACGTCAAATTCTCTTTTGCTAATGTTTGCCATGATTTACTACAACAACCATTAACATAAATTTATTACTAAACATTACAAACTTTTATAATATTGTCTAATCTCTACAATCTTATAAGAGTGAATATTGTTAAGGGTTTAATGGTCATAAAAAATGTGTTGGTGTCTCTTGCTGCATAAAGTCATTGTACCTCATGTATGGTTTTTTGTACTTTTAAATTTATATTATAGCTTTGTGTTTTAATGGGAAAGTGGATTTGGTTAACTAAACATTCCCTTTGGCTTATTTCCGTCGTTCAACCATATCCTTTCACCTCTTCAGCACCTCAACATAATTCCCTAGCCAGCCTGTTCAGTTACTTCGAATGCAATACGGCAGATGGATGGCTAACCACCATGCACGCCAGACTCCGGCTGGTCTCTTTGCGGCGACCGGTGGAGGGAAAGAAGCACCGTGTCTTTGCATCATTTGTGCCTCCCATCGTTTCCGTCTTCTCGCGCCAACCAGGTTTTTTTCCACCGTTTCCGTCTTTTCCTTCATCTTCTCCATCTTCGTGTAAGTTAACTTGTTCTTTCAATGATGATTGTCACAAGCTAAAAACGACAAAGATGTGGCAAACTCTTATCTGCCATTCTCCAATATAAACTCTTATGATTAAATTCCTTAAAATCTTCATTTATCTATCTCTTTTGTCATTTGCATTACTGCTATGAGAGTATGATAATACATCCTCTATCTCTAACTATTCAATTCTATTTCCTCTGTCAATTCCTTTTACTTCAATTATTGCACGGTGGAAATGGTAAGACTGGATGAAGCATTATGTAGACATCCCAAACACATTGATTGTGATGCACTCCATAAGAATATTGGTTGTGAAATCGGAACACTTGTCTGTGTGCAGTCTCATATTGCTAATCAAACGGACCAAGGTACTTTCTTTTCGACATAATAATTTATTTATTGATGTTACCAACGATTGATGACCTTCTAGCTAAAATGATTCTCAATGATAAGGGTTATGTATTGTTCTCTCTGTCTCCCATACCCACGAGGCGCGATTGGAAAATATGACCTTATTAGATAAGGGTGTGTTTTCATCCTTCCTTGTCTTGTCATGAAAGGATAAAGTTGGATAGGGGAGTTTTCAGTCTCAGTTGAATACTAAAATCTTTGCTCTTGATTATAGATCTTATCATAGAAGGCATTTGTGTTTGATTGTGAAATTGTAGTTGGAGATCATAGAAAGAGGCTACTTACATTTGAGGTAGTAATATTCTTCTAATTCACTGCTGATAGAGTCATTCAGTCACTGACCAAATAGTCATTCTACATCGGATGTTTTGAAAATTTTCACCATGCTATGTATATTTCATTAGCAAGCAAATTATTGTTTGTTTTATGTTCTCAAGGGAGCAAAAATAGTTCAACAGCCAAGATTTGAGCTCTATTTAACCTCCAGACTTTTCTTGCAACTCTTTTAAACACAAATCCATTAAAAGGTTTCAAATACAATTGTGATTTTTTTCTAAGCTTTATTTTCAAATATTAGCCTGGCTTGTTATGGGCATCATCCTGGTATTCCTGGCTAGCCATCTTCTATGTTATTAATTATGATGATACATAACACTTACTACGTATTTGTTATGCTTTTATTACAGCTTCCATCATTTGTGCTTGTTTTTTTTGTTGGAATTTTACTTAGTGTGAGCATATATAGCTAATGAGATTTTAATCAACTTAATTATTCCGTTTACGTTTTCAGGGTTTCAGTTTATCATTCCGGTTTACAAGAATTTAGAATTATCATTCTATTCTAACATGAGTTGCAGTTTTATATTTCTACATTCTTCCAGTGTGTGATGGTTTTGCACTCATAACGTATATTATTAAAAGCACTCATAAAAAACCAGACACTTATGCGTTCAGTGGACAAAAACAAACAAAAAATACAAGAACAATACATATACTTCTGATGTGCACAGACGCAGTCACACACCTCTGATGTGCATACAAAAATACAAGTGGGGTGGCTATAACAACCTTAGTATAACGGTTCTCCACACTCCTTAGAAATGGTACCTTATGTGCCTGTTTTGCTTCCACTTGCTCCTACCATACCGACTGCTTTTATTTGTAATTTATGAAACAAGCCAAGCTCATTATGACTCAGACGTGTTGATTAAGAAATAAGTTGTTTGTATGAGAGCATTAGGGGGGCTCTACTAGAAGCATATGCATCATGCATGCCAAACCTTTCTAATGTTTTTTCTTTCTCCATTACGCGTATACCTCAAACTCGCAGTATCCACCTTGTAGGGCAAGTTAGTCTTCATGTTGCTAGAAGGGTTGTTCAATCCGTTAGTGACTAAGTTGTTAATACAGGCTTGATTAGAGGAGTAAAACACCTAACTTTATTTTTCTTTTCCAGTTTCACCTTAGATGTTTACCTCTAACTTATTTTGGGTCTCTGATCTTTTGTTGTCCGCCAATTTCTCATTTCAGTCATTTGTACCCTTACTAAACAAGTTCTTTACCCGACCGACAACTTATTTAAGCATTCCTATTAAATCTTCTTAACCTCGGATAAACTTTGTGTGATTTCCTGGAGATGGCAAGGATAAATCTTCAGGCAAGGATTTAATGTTGATGTAATGTGTGATTTCCTGGAGATGGCAACTCAAAACCCATCGATGTTCCGTTTATGCCTTTTGATGGCAATGTTTGGAATGTGAAAGAAGCTTGTCTCTACAGAGGGATGCTTGACATAGTGGTATGGTATAATACTCACATATGCTCCCCCTACACATGGAAAAAAATTCGTTCTCATTGGGTATGTTGATCTCCTTTATTCTTTTTCAACAAACAAGCTAAATACTTTACTGAGCTTCTTAAAACTTTGGACCACCATATAGAGACGCCTAAGAATTTCAAGATAGATGGGAATCGGGGTACTGTTTCCTTCATAACTTCAATAATGGAGCACTTATGTGCAGCTTGCAACACACCGAGACTTTTTCAAATTGCGGATTATAAGTTATGCGGTTTTGGTCCCTTTGAGGTGAAATTCTCTCCTCATGCACACACAACGACTTTACTTGTGCTCCATAGTTCTGGCCTCTAGGCCTCTCGATCTGGCTACCAATTTTTATTTTTTATTTTTTTTTGTTTTTTTTTTTTTGCCGGGGAACACCTCCCTAATTTATTTAAATAAAGTTTGAGTACATGGAATTGAGATTACATCTGGCTACCAGTTTATAGATTTTAGTTTTGCTATTTTAAGAGATTTATTATAATGTGCTAAAATGTAATCACACCTCAACTAATACTATTATTTGAAAATCTCCAAGAAAAACACAAAACCATTTTATACTTTGAGGCTGCATTCTTTCTTCAATTATAGTTTGATAATTGATAATTGGTAGTTTGATACTTTGATGTTGAACCACTGCGATTGATAGTTTGATACTTTAAGGCAGAACCACTACGAGTATATTTTCTTTCTTGGTTGATGAATAAAACTGTTATAATAAAGTGTTGAGTGTTGACAATATTTTTGAGAGGGAGGAATACCATTTGGCCCCAGAAGGAGTGAACATTCAGACTGATGTTGTTCTGCTAATTGGAATTGCATTGTCTTTGGTACCCTCAAAGGCTTTAAAGCCCCTGTTTGTGCATAGAAAGTACAATGTTTTGTTACTTTGCTTAGGTTTTATTTTGTTTCTCAGTAACATGAAGTCATGAACCATTGGCATTTGCTTACATTTTTCTTTTGTTTAATCTGGATAATTAGTCATTGAATGAGGAAACCTTTTAGTACCAAAGAAAAAAGAAAACCATCAGGTGGCTACGAGGAGGAAAGTAAGAAACCGCTGCTCAAGGCCTGAAGTGCTGAACTTATACTCTATTGTCCTGTTCCTTTGAGTTACACCAACAGCCAACACTACCTAAGTGCCTAAGTGATTATTTAATGCTGATAGTTTTCTTAAATTGTTCTTGATAGTGGTGATAAAATGAATATATTTAGTGATAATTGTATAGATTTCTAAATTATATTTATTTTTTCTTGTCTCGGAAAAGGTGCAAGTATATCGTTGATGTTTAGTTCCAGGTGCATATTGCCTTTAAAGGTTTGAAAGATGTAAACTTATCCCTAGAGTTCATATTTAAGAGTAAATTTACCCTTATTCATTTCTATATATATATATATATATATATATATATATATATATATATGTGTGTGTGTGTGTGTGTGTGTGTGTGTGTGTGTGTGTGTGTTAAAAAAACGAATATTTTGACCACCGTTTATAATTCAATTGATTTATTTTGAATTATCAAAATTCAATCATCTTATACACAATAAGTATTTCGATTGTATTAGCATCATAGTGTTTGTTATATGAATAATATACCAATCAAGTTCAAGTAGTAAAACAATAAATTCATTGTTACTCAACCTAAACCGAGGAATTAATATCCGTATAATGATCTTGGGCATTACCACGAACGCGCGTTGCGCGTTACGAAACTAGTTATAGATAAGTATGTAAAACAGCATTTGAAATAATAAAGAGTATATGTAAAGTAAGTAATCATGTAGGCACTATATTACCCTTTTAATTAATTTTATCCGGCCATTTGGTTCAATATTATTAAATTTGATTGTGCACCAAAAGTAAGATTTAGTTTTATATACCACCTATGACTATATAGATAAGATAAACTCATGCAGTACAATCGGGTCAGTACCCACTGCAACACTCCATGAATTGATCGAAGCTTTTATTTGTTTTTGTTTTGGCATATAATAAAAACAAAAGTAACCGAATAACAATTGAATAGCAACTCTAAAACTTGTTACGTGGCTTAATGGCATCTACTTCCTTATATTTATTTTTAATAAAACATTTGTTTGTTAGTTGTGCATGTGACCTTCTGGCAGAGAGATCAGACCTATTATTATGTTTGTGACCTTGTAAGTGTGAAGTATTAATAAATAGGAGAATGGTCTAAACATCCTAACTGTTATCTCTCCTCATGTATATCGATCTTTCCTTTAGCTTGTATGATAACTTTACTGGTGCAGTGAATGGTTCTTTACTTTTTTTCACTTTTCTCTTAAGTTATATTCTCCTTCCACAAGTTAAAGAGCTCATCAAGACAGATGAAATAAAATGACACTCTGGTACTTTAAAAGGTATGTATTCTATATTTTTGTTTCCGTATATGAGAAAATTTATTTAAAATAGAGAATAACTTTCAGGTTTGAATACTAAAAAAAGATAATAAATATTCATGCTAATACCTGCAGGAGATGATGATTACTGATGATTTTGAGCAGATTCGTGCTGATAACGTATTGTGAAATAAAAAAAAGTGTATAGATAAAAAATCTCTGAATTACTTCTTCTTAATATATGAGAATTTCTGAGTTTCTGAGTTCAATTTACAAATGATTGATTACCCTATTTATACTAGTTGGCTAGGAGATGAATCATCAAAGAATGATTCTACATAATTTGCTGGCAACATCAAACCTAGCCATCTGTCTATTACAAGGACTTGAATAGGATTAGTGTCCTGATGACAAGGATGAACAATTCACACTTGTCATTTTGGTGATTTTACAACACATAATGATATTTCCCATTATTATTGCACTGTCATTATTACTTTTATCTTATTTCAATTATATTTCTACGTTTGAGTTGTTCTTAAAAATTTAAATAACTAGACAAAATTGAAGGGTATATTAGGCTTTTAAAATATAAAACCAAAAACATGTGAAAAGTTAATCAAAATGACTTTTTTCGCTTCAAACAGCCAAATGAATTAAACGTTCACCGCCACCACCATCATCAACAACATCTAAGCCTTAATCCCAAAAAATTTTGGAGTCGGCTAACATGAATCGATCAATGATGTTGATGCCAAAAAGAGAAGACAAAAAAAAAGATAAAACGGGTAAGATAAAGATAGAAAAATATGTAGTATAAGATAACAATAACATAAGAATATAGGAAAGATAAAAGATAAACAGATAAAAGAATATAAAAAAAGCTAGAATAAAAATAAAATTGGAATATAAAAAGATAAAGAAGATAAACGATAAAAGAAAAAGAGAGAATAAAGATAGAAAAGAGATCAATCGACCACACGAATGTGTGTCATCCACTTTGCTCTCTCCAAAGTCATACCCTTACCATACACGAAAAATATTTGTGCGACTGTGTATAACAACCAAAATCAATTAACAAAGGAAAAAATGGTATATAGGCTAATAACCAAACACTATCATGCATGATCTGTTTTCAACCTTAAAAACAAAAACACAATAGTTATATTTGAATAAAGCAATTATATTTGATGACACTAGAGTTGGTTGTGCCTCAAAATAAATTCAATACTAACACTAATACCGTATTATAGAGTAGTAGAGTTCGTATTCATAGAAATAAATATTCTTCTTTTGTGAAATTGTAACAAAAATTGGTTTTAAATTTGTATAATTTGAGAATGTTAAATGACTAAGATGAATGAATTATGAGAGCAGTATGATAAATATTTGATTTTACTGACTTCAACTTATATATTGGACAATCAAGTACAAAGGTTGCAATTGTGGTGTAGTCTAGAGAGGAGCCGAGGGGAAACCCTATCCCCCTCCTCCTCTTCTTTTCCTCTTTTCCTCCAACTCTTTTGGTTTCAATTATGAAAAGGGGTTCGTTTAATCACCGCAAATTATACGGTGGGAATGACCCATCATACGCATGTTGTGCCGATCCCAAAACGGCATCATATTAATTAAAACGGCATCCCTTTTGATCAGTCTCCCGCATGACCACCCACTTTGATCACCACTCACCTGGGAGATTTCCATACGTAGCTTGACATTATTGCTAAATTTTGATTTGATCTTCTCCAACTTTTTTTTTTTGCTTTTCTACAATTCATTTTACTTCTCCATCAAATTATAAAAATGTAATTATAATTTTAATTTTCTTTATCTTCAACTTAAATTACAACTCAATCTATTTTTTATTTTTTATCAATTCATAGCAAATAATTATTAATACTTTTTGTATCATACACTTTTTGATAAATTAATCTAAATAAAATAAGTATATTACATTTCACATTCATACACTTGTTTTATTTCTAAAATATTTGTATTTTACACCTTTGTTGCAATATTTTATGTATATATATATATATATATAATATTTCTTATCTCTTTTATATGTTTTTAAGACATAAAGTTTGTTTATTTCGACTTACATTTGATAAATGTGTGTGATTTACATTTCTACATGTCTAAGTTATGTTTATAGACAATTTCTCGAATTACATTTGATAGTATATGGAAGTTACATCTTCTTGTGCGTGAGTTACATTTTTTATGCGTGAGTTACATCTTCTTATACGCTAGTTACATTTAGATTTGCATTAATAAGTTACATTTCGCATACACCTAAGTTAGATTTTCCATCAACGCGAGTTATATTTTCTATAACATGAGTTACATAACATTACAAAGCCCTGCTATTCAATTAAAACAATCAGTTTTATGCAAAAAAATATTGCAAAAAAGTGATTTCTTAGGCAAAAATCTGATTTTAAAAAAAAAATTTTTAAGGCCTTGATATAAAAAACAGAACATATTCACTATTTAAGTAATCCCCTCCTATTGAAACAAAAAAAATCATTTTTTATGCAAAAAAAAATGATTTTTTTGGTGAAAAAATAATGTTTTTTTGGAAAAATAAACGTTTTTAAGAAAAAACACTATTTATGGTCTTAAAACAAAAGATATTTACTATTTATGTAAAGTAATTGAACAATTAGATTCCTTATTTTCATTGCAATTAATGATTTATTTTTTATAATTCGTATTAGACAAGTTAGATTTCGACTTGCCTGCAGTTACATTTCTAATCAGCGTGAGTTACATGTCTTTACACGCGAGTTACATCATTCATGCTACCAGGACAAAATGAAAAAAAAAACAGTTATTGTACACGTGTGTACTGTTCACGCATGTACTGTTCACGCGATTTTTTTTAAAAGTTGTGCAAAACTACGTCCTTTTGAGGGTGGAACATGATGCTCACCGTGGGATGATCCCACGGTATACGAACTGTTTAATCACCATTTTCAGTTTTATCTATACATCTAGTTCATAGCATTGTCTATAGATGTTATTTTCGATGGCGAATAGTCATCTGCGAGATGTATATTCTCCGTCATCATCGATCATGTGTTCTTGTATACTAGTAATAGATTTCTAGTAGGTGCTTCATCAATCATAAATTTGGATTTCTTCTGCATCAATATTGAGGCCGATCGCACCCCTCCTGAACTATCGCTGATACTGGAAGATGAGATTGCATGAATTGCTTTCTTTTCGATGGATGATGAAACCATAACAAATTCTGCACTTGTTTCCTTACCTGTGGCTGGCATAACCGGAAAATTCAATAGTTCCTTTTCGGTGGCTGGTCAAATCGGATCCATTTTGAGTAGCATGAGCAGTCACACCGCGATACTAGTCTACATCGTTGCAGGGTTGCCGAACAGAAGCGCCTTTATAGGTCTTTTTTGTTCTTTCTCTCACCCTAACGTAGCTTTGAACGCTATGATTGTAATGTTTCAACTTTTGATTGTAATGTTTATTGATACACTTATCAATAATAATTAAGTTATTTGTTAAAAAAACATCAACTTGTTTGAATATTTATTGACCCCGATTATTTCTTAATTATCCCCTCTTCACTATTCAGTGGCGGAGTGTTTCTGATTCATCAAGGATAGCTATTAATAGTGAATGCGTTCGTTAATAGTTCTTACTATTAGCTAAATATAGAATAACACCCTATACCAATTTGTTAATGACAATTAATCTTGAATAAATTCTACTTTTGGTCCTATGAGTATCGCACCAATTTCACAATTGGTTCACGTCTTTGACTTTGACCACTTTTGGTACATGACTGTTGTATTTTTGCCCATATATTATCCTCCCAGCAATGTTTCCGGTGGTTAAAATCGCCGGAGAAGGACCACAACTGGTCAAAAAACATTAGTCAGGTATTAAAAATGGACAAAGTGAAAGACGTGGACTAAATGCAAAAATGACACAAAACTCATAGGACCAAAAATAGAATTAATTCTTTATTCTTTTAAATTATTGATGGAATCAACTCAGATTGACAATCTCAACAAAGAGATTCATCGGTTTAATCAATACAATTAATTTGGCTTTAAATTATTAACCAAGAGAGACATGCATTAGAAATCTAAAGTTACTACTTGTGAAATAATCAATACTTAATTAATCATCGGATCATTGATCGTTTATAGTAGTAATTAATGCTAAAGCGTTAACTAATCGTCATTTAGCAACACACCAACATTAATATAGAAATATAAATAGGGAATAATTGATACTTAAGAAGAGAAGTTTAAGGAAATGACTCGTGACTTTAACATTCCACAAGTTTCAAGATATTAAAATCAGGATATTAAAATGAGTTTAGCTCCTCATTTGGACTCTAAATGTACTAAAAAATATAAGTAAAATACTAATCTAAACTAAGTTTTATGATATGAAAGAATGCATGTGTAAAATGAGAAGAAAAGAAGCACTTTTATAGGTGTTTGGGACCGAGGGGTTCGACACCCGATTGAGTATCTAGGATACTAGATCAGGTATGAAATCAATACATAACAGATCGGATATGTCAATATACCCGATCAAGTATATGACCAAATCTAATTTCATCACCACTACAAAAAAAATCGCCTGTAGTCACGGACTTAGTCACGGACCGTAGTGTAAAAAGTCAGTGACTAACACTTTTAGTCACGAACTTCGTCCGTGACTAGTTCAGTGACTAGTTCCGCGTGACTAGAATGTAGTCACGGACCATTGGCCGTGACTAGGTGTAGTCACGGATTAGTCACGGACGTCGATCCGTGACTACATCTTGACCGGAATAAGCCTCCGGCACGTTAGTCACGGACCGGATCCGTGATTACTTTTAATTTAATTTTTTTTTGAGTTAGTCACGGACACGAGCCGTGACTAAGTTTAATTTAATTTTTTTTTATTTTTGTGGTAGTCACGGACGTATCCGTGACTATAATAAATTTAAAAAACTTGAATTTATTCCGGATAAAATGTAGTCACGGATCTGGTCCGTGACTAATGTTTTTGTTTTTAAAAAAATCGATTTTAATAAAAAAAAAATAAAAAACGAAAATTGAGTTTATTCCGGATTAAAAAGTAGTCACGGATTTAGTCCGTGACTAATGTTTTTGATTTAAAAAAAACAATTTTTATAAAAAAATAAAAAAAAATTTTAATTTTATTTTAGAGCAATTACAATAAAAATAAATTCCATACAATCTTAAACATAAAAAATGTTATTACAGACAGAATTCCCTTAAAATTAACTATTTTCCTTAAAATTAACTAGTTTCCTTAAATTTCACTAAAATTCACTAAAATTCCCTTAAAATTAACTAATTCCCTAAAACTCCCTTAAAATTAACTAATTCCCGTAAAATTAACTAGTTTACTTCAATTTCACTAAAATTCACTAAAATTTCCTTAAAATTAACTAATTCCCTAAAATTCCCTTAAAATTAACTAATTCCCTTCAAATTAACTAGTTTCCTTAAATTTCACTAAAATTCACTAATTCCCTTAAAATTAACTAATTCCCTTAAATTTCACTAAATTTCACTAAAATTTCCTTAAAATTAACTAATTCCCTAAAATTCCCTTAAAATTAACTAATTTCCTTAAATTTCACTAAATTTCACTAAAATTCCCTTAAAATTAACTAATTCCCTAAAATTCCCTTAAAATTAACTAATTCCCTTAAAATTAACTAATTCCCTTAAAATTAACTAGTTTCCTTAAATTTCACTAAAATTCACTAAAATTCCCTTAAAATTAACTAATTCCCTAAAATTAACTAATTCCCTTAAATTTCACTAAATTTCACTAAAATTTCCTTAAAATTAACTAATTCCCTAAAATTCCCTTAAAATTAACTAATTCCCTTAAAATTAACTAATTTCCTTAAATTTCACTAAATTTCACTAAAATTCCCTTAAAATTAACTAATTCCCTAAAATTCCCCTTAAAAGTAACTAATTCCCTTAAAATTAACTAGTTTCCTTAAATTTCACTAAAATTCACTTAAAATTAACTAATTCCCTAAAATTCCCTTAAAATTAACTAGTTTCCTTAAATTTCACTAAAATTCACTAAAATTCACTTAAAATTAACTAATTCCCTAAAGTTCCCTTAAAATTAACTAATTCCCTTAAAATTAACTAATTGCCTAAAATTTCACTAAAATTCACTAAAATTCACTAAAATTCCATTAAAATTAACTAACGTCCAATAATTAATATTATTAAACTATAAACATGCACAATACGTTAATGACATTAATTTAATCCACAATACTAAAATTATCAACATCTTAATCTTATTAATAATGCACATTTAACAATTTACTAAATTAAATAATATGAGCAAATCCAATAATAAACACATTTAAATTAAATTAACTAACCCTAATTTAAATCATTATTAATCCTAAATTAGGCCGCCTTAATTAACAATAATTGCCAATATAAAGAAATCATATACTTATATTTAATCATATATATATATATATATATATATATAAAGTCATTTGAATTAAATAATACTTACATTTAACTAATATTAATAATATGCATTTAAATTATATTTAATCATATATACTTACATACGTATTTAACTAATTTACGTAATTTTAACCTTATATTTTAAAATTAATAACATATGTATTGCCAATATTATATTTAATAATATACTTACATATGTATTTATTAACAAATTTACATATTTAACTAATTTACAAAAAATACGTAATTCAAATTACATACCTTATCTGCATAAACAGGAAAAATGATATGAGATGGGTAGATTACATCCTTCAATTCTATCTGGAATTCTATCTGGAGTACGTAGATGGTGTGATTTTGTTGAATGAAGCAGAGGCTGCATATATAAATTTTGTAGTCACGGACTTAGTCACGGATGTGTCCGTGACTACATGTTTTTGTACGAATTGTCGGTGCACTTTAAATTTGGAACGTTGAAAAAATCAATTTTGCACTTGTCACGGAATTAGTCACGGACAAATCCGTGACTACTTTTTTTTTAACGGTTCCGTGACTAAACCGTGATTAGAACCGTGACTAACTAGTCACGGACCAAATCCGTGACTAACTAGTCACGGACCAAATCCGTGACTACGGTTCGTGACTAAAGGCGAATTTTTTTGTAGGGCACATTCTCTTGCTTTATTTGATCCGTATATCTCCAGGTCTAATCATACATGACATGATATTTGATTATACTCAACTGGGTGTGTGGCCAAATCAATTTTTTGTATGATATTTTGCATCCTTGCTTGCACCTTTCAGTCTTGGGTCTATACGTCAAATATTTATGTCTTGGTGGCTTCAGGCAGGCACTAAGAGTATAGTTGACTGTTTTAAGCATAACTTACAAGGGATTATAGCCTGGCATATCTGGAAACTTTACTGTAATCTGGTATGGGGGGAGCTCAATAAAGCGCCTTCTATTGAATTTAGTATTCATCAAATCAGATTATTCTCAAAAGCCTGGTCTTCCAATCTCAATTCAGTTGGGGCGATTTCTCTCACTGGTGTCTTAGAAGAAGAACACCTTATACCTAAATCATTTCGGTTCCCTAAGCCCAAAATTAAAACGGTAAAGTGGAAATTACCTGGCACTGATTTAAAGCTTAATGTGGATGCCTCCTCCTCATCGGATGGCTCGGTTGGTGGTGCGGTGATGAGAACAAGATCTGGTGACCTAATTTTTGCACTTCATTTCCCCATTCGGTCAAGATCTCCGCTGGACGCAGAGATGGTTGCCTTTCATTTTTTGATCCGCTGGGCGATTGAACATGGATTTACAGGTTTCGAAGCTGAGACAGATTCACTGGGAGTCATTAACTTTGTTTGTGGTGGTTGCATGGAGAAAGCTCAAAGATGATTTTGGGAATTGGTCGGATGAACACGGTATAATCTTCAGACATACGCTCAGGGAAGCCAACAGACCAGCTCATATTTTGTCTAAATGCTTTGAAGGTGACCTGCGTGTTTATTATTTGAACAGTCAACTTCATATTTTGGTCAGAAGAGCTATCTTAGCGGATAAACTTGGCTTAGTCTTATTTTAGAATTTACTTCTGTAATTGATGTTGTTTCTTTAATAAAATTTGGTAGATGTTCCCGTCATGTGCCCCACTGATTTTGGTGGTTGGCCTTCCGAGTTAAAAATAACTTTTGTCAGTTCTTGATGATTCTTGTTCAAAATTATTCTAAATTTATCAAATTATCACAAACTAAGAAAAAAAGGTTGCACCATAAATGTGCAATTGCGGTATCAACCCACTATGCAAACTACTTAAATGAAAAATGTAAATATAGAAAAACTAACATAATCATCATTTTTGTCATAGAATATTTTGTTTTGACTGAAATTTTATGTTTTAATCTTAATTCAAATCTAATATAATTTAGGCTATTTAAATTAGATTTTATCCAACAAAAAAATCTAATGCCATTCATCCCAACTCATTCCATTATACATGTTGCAATCACGATTTCTGGAAGATAGATCTACACTTCCTTCCCTGATATTCCCTCATTCTTTTATGGCTGATCAAGGAAATAAGCGTTTCAGAGATAACGCTGGATTAGACATGGGTATAATTGAAACTTAATAGCATTTTTATTCAATCATTTAAAACACTGGCTTTATTTAGAAAATTAGTAGCTGTGCATAGAATTCCCCCCTAATCAACATGAGAATTCTTTTATTAGTGGCTGAGTATACAATTAGCGGCGGACTAGCTTTCAAGCCCGTACGATGCACGTGCAGTATGTAATTTAGCTAATTTGAAATTTAATTTCTATCAGATCACGTATAATGTGATTTAAAAGAAAAATAAACTTAGTCTAATATAGAGTCTGTTTAATAATACTAAAGTAAATAGAATTAACTTATTTTGCTGAAATTGATTGAATTCTGGTTAAATAGGTGGAATCTTCTGAATCATGAAAAATATATGTGAAATATATTCTATTTGTGAAACAAAGAAAAAATATATGAAAAAAAAGTTAAATTGGTCTTCTACATAAGCATCTCAAGTAAACATAAATGTTATGAACCCAATAATAAAAAAAATCTATATTTCTTAATGGTTAGATCTTACACTTTACTCATTAATAAGAACGTTTTTAATTGAATTAAAATTTCGGGTTTGATTTGGTATGAATTAATATGGTCTATTAGATGTCTGTTTTTTATGTGACTTATTGTTATAATTATTAGGAAAAATTGATTGTAATAATCCCAACTATTGACGGTCCGCTCATAATAATCCCAACTATCGATTATTTCAGAATAATCCCAACTTTAGGGACCTTCCGCCAATGATGGTTCGATGTGACGGATTATAAATAAATTCCTATAGTTTCTAAAGAGATATAGCAGGTAATCTCTATAAATAATCCCAAATTTTAATTTTTACGCTTAATTTCTATTAAAAATTCACTTGTTAGAGCAGGTAATATGCGGTCCTGGACCATTATTGGCGGACGATCTATATAGTTGGGATTATACAAAAATAATCAATAGTTGGGATTATTGTTAGCGGACTAGCAATAGTTGGGATTATTATTTTCAATTTTTCCTAATTATTAAAGTTTGATCTGATTTAATCTGGAACTGAAATCAATCCAATTAAAAACATTCTATTAAAATAAAAGTAGGAATTCGTAAACCTATAAAGATTTTCTAATTTGGATTAGAAATATATTTCAAAAGTGAAGGCATATTTGAATTTTAGGTGTAAAATAAAGAAACAACCAAATAATTTTACTTATTTGGATAAACTAAACTTATTTACTTGTGAAAATATATATACTTTATGTTGGTTATAATTTTTAATTTCATTTTTAATTATTTACTTATTCGAAGCTTACTAATTTATTAATAGGTGTCATATTAATAAGTAAACTAATTTGCATATTTGTTTCTATTAAATTCGGTGTAGTAAACTAATATAAATTAGTTTCCATATCAATAAACGTTATTAGAATTTCACTTTGATAATCAAACATTATTTTACTTATTTGAAGCTTACCAAATTAATTAAGGTGTATTTATACGGATTTTTGTTTCCATATCAATATGCAATAAAAAATAGAATCTAATAAAAACAAAAGGTATAAAAATAAGTAAATAATTGTTATATATAATGACGTGTCATAATTATGTGGTGCTTTGTATGCTCTTAAAAAGTTTCTCTTTTATATATATATATTGATTGTTATAAAGACAAATTTGATATTTAAAATAATTTATTTATTACGACGGCTAATATTTAATTTAGGAGCTCCTATTAGCAATAAGGAGGTTGTAAATAGAATCTCCAAAAATCAACTGGTCCTCATACTTTCACGAGAAAGTCAATTAGACGTTCGTGTTTAAAAAAATCACAGATTAGTGAACATGTCAGCAAATGTTTGCAATTTCATTGGGCCCGGTGTATAAAACGCGGTGGCCCAAGAGAAAATACCAGTAGTCTGAACGTTTGGTGGTGTCTTCCTTCTCCACTGCGCTTGGTCTGCAACAAGCTAAGTTAAGCATAACCCGCCAAATTGTTCATACGTTCAGAAAATGAATTTTGTTTCACAGCTAAAAACCCATCATTACTCTCCCTCCAGAATCCATTATGACAGGCCATCACCAAGCTGTCCACATTCAGTTCAGCACCTTCTGAAATTTTCTACTTCGCGACCCAAGTACTCTGCCAAACAAAGTATTAGGGTTCGCTCGGAATTCGATGCTAAGGTCAATGCATTTCTCCATTCCGATTCGGACTCTCGTTTCGTTGACCGGGTTTGTTTTCTCTGATTCTCTCTCACCACACAGTGTGGTCGTTTTATTGTCCTCCAAACCCCCGAATTCTTTAACTTTCGTATTCTTCTGCCACACATGCTTTGTGTGTTCTCTGCATTCGCTAACTATTCCCTTTGTCAAGAACTGTTTTAGCAAAAAGCATTGGAAGCAGCAATGGGTGATATAAATAGCTCCTTTGGCAAAGGAAGTGTTACACGATTGGGAAGTGCTGGTGGAGCTCTAGTGTATGCGTTTTCTTTTTCAGTTTAGTATGTAGTCCATGCCAGCTCCAATTGAATACAATTCAAATAAGTATTGGAATTGTTATATGATAATAATAACAACATGGGAAACCCTTTGATTGTACATTCTGTTTATCACAATTTCCCAAGGTTACATGATTGCAATTGCCCCCCATGAAGCACTCAAATTTTGTGTACCTCACATTTCTCAATACTCATCAACATCAGTTCATTTTTTTGCCATTTCCATTATAAAAATATATTTTGAGAACCCTGTTTCACTGATTGATTAGCATTTCAGAAGTATGGGGTCTTTTTATGTGTTTTCTTGATGGAGATCACTGTTTTCTTAATGAAACTAAACAAATGTATGCATTAGTACAATTGTTTTGCATTTTACGTTTGCATATGTGACAAATCTCTATATTTGGACATATAGACTAATAGACTTTTTTTGTCGTTGCTTATATAACAAAACTTAAATGAAGAAGTGTATATATTTGAAAATAATATTTAAAAATATACCTCTATATATTTATATTTACGTGCTCCCTACGTTCGTTATTGTATCCTTAAAATAATTCTATTTCCCGCATACATAGATTGCCCCTCTTTTTTTCTAAATCTATTTTCTGTATTTTTCTGCCCACAGAGAGACTTTTCCGAGTGGCATTCTGACATTGGACTTAGCTTTAGGGGGTGGCCTTCCCAAAGGGAGAATTGTTGAGGTCTGTCTTTCACTCCTTGATTTCCTTTAAAATTTCAGTTCCCTGGATGAATGCTCGTGCATGCATCTTAAAAATAGTTTTGTAATGTTCTTCCAGTGACCATAATTGCCAGAACCTAAGCTATGTTTACTGAACGAACATGTGATATTACTTGTATGCCTTCAAGGCTTCAAAAGGGCACATTTAGGGCTTGTGTGCATGTAGTTGACATTAGTGTGTTGTAGTGTTTTATTGTGATTTTTTGTTTGAACATAACAATGCGCCGATGAAGCTTAAAAAGAGTGTGTATATATAAAATTGATTGCCCGTAATAGAAGTAAAACAGGGACCAAATTCACAAACCGGACTATAATATGCTTTGTTCCCCTTATAAGTGAATCAAAGCAGTTAAATGAATTTTAAACTTTGAGCCAAATCCAGTATGATGCAGGGATTGCAGGGTTTTAAGTTGTGGTTGCGGCCACTGCATTTGTAGTTATTGCGGTTGCTGCGATGCGTATTGCAGCCAATGCAGCGTCAAATAATTTTTAGTTCGAACAAGATAGAAATAAAATGATTTTTCTGCAAGAGGAGTATAACTTATATTTTAATTTTTAAATTCATTCTCAAGTAAATAAGTTCCGAATATATGCTATGTTTCACACTAATGTAAATAAATTCAAAGTCAGGTAAAAATATGAAGTATAATATATTTTAGAATAAACGAAACTAAAAGTTATATTCGGACTGTGTTGCGGTCAGATGCAGATGTGTTGCGATTGCGTTGCGGTTACATTGCAGTTTGTAACGTGATTTCATTTTTCACCGCAATTGTGGTCCATCGTGGTTGCAGTGCGGCCGGCAACAGCAATATTGTGGACGCAATTGCGGTTGCGGTCCACAATTTAAAATGGTGATGATGTGTTTCATGAAAATAGCAGATGTGTCACTGATGCCTTATACTTTGTTATTATTGCATTTCAGATATATGGGCCAGAAAGCAGTGGGAAGACCACCTTAGCTCTCCATGCTATTGCAGAAGTGCAGGTCCAGTATGTATTTAATTTTTTATATTCTGTATAGAAGTTAGTGAGTTACTCTGAAGCATGAGGGTTAGAGCATAGGTGTACATTTTAGTGGATGAGATTTGTGTGTAATTTCACTTTTTTTTCACTTGATGCACTAAATTCGACCAAAATCGCGGTGGCAATTTTATAAATAAACCACAATTTTTCGCTACCGTGAAAAAGTGCAACAGAAACACGAAAAAGTGCAAGCAAAACATGAAAAAGTGCATATCTTCTCACTTTGCACGGGAAGATGTCTTTTTATTTGAACTCTTCCCTATATATATATATATATATATATATATATATATATATATATATATATATATATATATATAGGGACCCCTACTCGTGTTATTTTTCCTGAATGGTGGAGTGTCGCCCCATACACAGTGCATTTACCTCTCTATGGTGGAACTCTGGGTGCAATGATGATTTGCGCGTAAATAACTAAATATAATATGGAGGGGATCTGTTTGGGGAACCTATTTAAAAACAAACAGGAAAGAATGGACGAGGATACTAAAAAGTTGAGCATAAACAATTATATTAAGATAATGCTCTCATTATGCAGAAGCTAGGAGGAAATGCAATGCTTGTTGATGCTGAGCATGCATTTGATCCAACCTACTCCAAAGCTCTGGGAGTAGATGTTGAGAATTTAATTGTCTGCCAACCCGACAATGGAGAGATGGCTCTTGAAAGTAATCCTTCTCCCTCCCCAGTCTTTTGGCAGTTGTCTAGTAGTTGTGGTCATGTTTAATTTAATTACATTTGCTGTTGTCTCAGTTGCAGATCGCATGTGTAGATCAGGTGCTGTTGATCTCATATGCATAGATTCCGTCTCAGCTCTCACTCCACGTGCTGAGATTGAAGTATGTTACATTGCCCTTTTCATTTTTTCATCTCAATTTACACTTTCCTAGGTTCACCTGTTCGGTACCTGGGAAAAAATGCCAGATAAAGTAAAACGGAGCAAAACAGAAGGAAAAACTGGATGCAATGAAAGTTACACCGGAAAAAGAGTTCAACCTCGATATATGTGTGTGTTTATATGTATATCTATCATGTAAAGATTTAAGAAATGTTGTTAATATTCTTTATCAAATGTCATTTTCATCCTTGGTATTTTCTGAGGTACAACAAAACATAAAAGACTATCTTTAGCGCCCCCCTAACATTTTTCCACATTCCTAACATTTGCCTAGGGGGAGATCGGTATGCAGCAAATAGGGTTGCAAGCACGACTCATGAGCCAAGCTTTGCGTAAGATGTCAGGAAATGCTTCCAAGGCTGGATGTACACTCATTTTTCTTAACCAAATACGGTATAAGGTACCATTATATTATAAGGCACAACAATGATGGCTCTGTGTGTCCTATGTACTTTTTTCTTAACCAAACAGGTCATGTTTACGTTGTGGGTTAATAAACTGTGCTTATTAAACCCCATGTTAGTCAGACACTTCTTAATAAGTAGTGTTCATTAAATATACGTTTACATCACAATGAGTTCAGGCCTATGCTGCACGGAAACTTGGGAAGTATGGGGAAACATGATCTTTTAATAGAAAAACGTAGAGTTTCTCAAGAACGTGAATAGAGATTCCGAAACGCAAACATACTCTTTCCTGGAGCTTCTGTGCTTCATAGGTTTGGACTTGACTAAACAAAAATATGTTTACATCATTGGGCATAAAATTTTACTATGGGTCATCTGGAAACAGTCTCTTTGTGCTTTAGTACAGGGGTAAGACTGCGTACATCCGACCCCCCCTTACCCCACCGTAGGTGGGAGTCTTTGCGGCACTAGGGTAAATGAAAATGAAATGATGAGATTGGGCATAAAATGTGTTTTACATTTAAAACATAAAATATAACCTTAAAGAAAGGAATAACCTAATCAGGCAATATTGAGGGGGGGGGGATACTCAACAGAAAGCAACACCCTTCAAAAGTAGAGCTAGGTATGGCTTCAATATGCTCTCTGACTCCAAAAATAATACTTCATATTAAATAATAATAAAAAGCCGAAAATTGTCAAATAGTAAACCTAAATAAAGTTATTCAATTAAAACATATAAAATGAAATTGTGGAGATCGATTCCGTTGTTTCACTCATGGGTGTAGCTAAAATGAGTCCAAAAAACCAATACTTCAAAAAAATAAGCGCACTCTTACATACAGTAGTATAAAATGAAATTGTTGAGATAGACTGCTATTGCACTCGTAGATGAAGCCAAAATTAGCCCAAAATAAGATCACCATGCTCGTGCCTCCAAGAAAAGGGAGAGATTGTGGGCTAAGTAAAAACATGTACAGACAAAACCTAAAATTACAAAAGCGAACATTTATTCAGAAAACTAAAATAGAATTACAAGAATCCAGCAAAGCCTGTATCGGATGAACATAGGAAAGTGATTACGGTTCTGTATCCTAAAGCCACAATCAGTGCACATCAAATATCACGTGCACCACTTGTATACACATTTTGGGAAAATAATTTAAATACTCAAACTTTAGAGGAGTGAGGCAAGTACCTCAAACTTTCACATAAAAGATATATACCTTGAACAGTTGAACTTTATAAAAGTTATTTTAGCACTATGATCACAAATGCAAATTTAAAATACAAGTGTTGAAATGTAAATTTATATTGTCGAGTGTATAAAATAAAATAGGGCCTTTTCCTGGAATATTACTAAATTAAAGCAAATTTCCACAAATGTGACCATTTTTACAAACGGACAAAATTGTGACTAAGGTCATATATATGGAAAAACATGGTGTCACTGCCAAATTTTTATGTCACCGTCGTATGCTATTACCATATTTTTATGTCACTTTTGAATGCCACTACCGGTTTTCATGTCACATTCGAATGTCACTATCGCCGTGAAACGTGTCACTGTGCCGCCGGAAATTTTTCTAGTGACTTTTTCCGCCATCTTTTTCCGGCAAAACAGTGATTTCCATGACTTCATCTCCTTCCAATTCCAGATCTTCGATTTCCTCCCCCATTTCCTCGATTTTCTGGTCTTTGGAATTGAGATTCTTCTGAAACTCTTCTTTCAGGTCTCCTATTTTCATCGCTGCAACTTCGAGTTGTCTGTGCCCTTCGACAAATTTTTGCAATGCATCTTCTTGCTCTTTGATCTCATTTCCAGATCAGCAATTTTCTGTGCTGATTCAGTCTTCTGATTTTCCAATTGTATCTCCAACTTAGCTCTGTCGGCCTCAATGATGATGTATACCTCCTTTTTTAATTTGTCTATTTCTTCTGTCAGATAAGAAATGTGGGTGTCATCTCCAACCTGTACATCCTCCAACTTCTTTTGCAGGGAAAGGATTTCAACCTCTTTCTCGTTTAGTATTCATTCCATCTCAGTTGATCTACTTTGAAAACTAGCTTCCTCCCCCCTCATTTGCTCTTCCAATTTGTGAAACTGTTCACCTTGAAACTTCATTTCCTCTTCAAGGTAATTTACCCTAACTACCAAACCATCCTTCTCATCTAGCAATCTCTGTACATCTAGACTTTTACTCTCCAACTCCCCTTCTAGTTTTTCAATATCAATCAGGTATAAGGCCTCTTATTCACATTTTTGAGAGGTTCAACGCCGCCATCGATGTCGAGATCGTCCAGCAGCAACACCAGCTCCTCCGATTGATTGATGGCTGGCTCCATTGAAGTCGATGATGAAATTTTGCAAAGAGGAAGAAAGGGGAAGGAGAAGAACGTCGTCGGAGAAGAATGACGGAGGTGGGTTGCGGAGCTGGAAGGGATGGCCATTGCTGTGCTCTCTGTATCAGTGCTCCAGATCTATGCGGAGGAAGTTGGTGCGAAGAAAAAGAAGGCGCAAAGAGATGATGGGTGCAGATAGATCAACGGATTGGGCGGGCTTCCTTAGGTCACTTTTTGGTCCAGGAATACAAAGGTTATATTTTGTCCATTCAAAGTCCATAACTGATATTTTAGCCATTCTTTCTTTAAAATACTCTAAGCACTTAAGAGGATGCCATTAACATTCTAAACTTTCATTTGTGAGAAAAATGATATTTCCTCGGTCTATGTACTTGCAAGTTGCAACATTTTTTATTTGATATTTGCCAACATATTACTTTCACCGTTAACATATTTTATTGACTTTTAGCAAAATTATAAAAAAGACATAATGTAAAACTTTAATCCAAGACAAATTTTATTCTACCTCCGTCCCTAAATATAAGATACATTTAGGTTTGGCGTGTGTTTTAACAAAATAAAGGATAAAGTTGTTTTACAATTCTAACTTCTAACGAGTAAGAAAAACTAGGTTGATTCCACCAAAAGTAAATGGTAGAAATGTAAAATGATAGAAAAAGGATAAAGAGAAAAGTAAAAGATTGGCAAAGTTTAATTTTGGACTACCCAAAAAGAAAAAATGTATCTTATGAAATGAGACAGATAGAGTAATATTTTATATTGAACAATTGTTTAGTACATTAATAAAACCGCAGCCCAAATAGAGTGTGTGATAGTGTAAAAGTCAAAGTACAATATGTAAAAGAGAGAATTCCCTAAATATGAGTAAAAAAGTTTTGAAATTCCAAAATAGGAGTATCATGTTTTTTATTCCTTGAATACGAATAAATTTCTGCCAAGTTTGGCATTACTAGGCTTTAAACATGGCATTTTTTTTCAAACTTGGCAGATTACTCCTATTCAGGGAATAAAAAACATGATACTCCTATTTTGGAATTTTAAAACGTTTTTGCTCTTATTTAGAGCAATTTCTATATGTAAAAAGTGTAAAACTCAAAGTGGTTCAACTATTAAAGTTTTTCACTTGTAATGTACTCATAAATGCTTATCGTATTTAAATTATTTATTTAACATAAGTTTACATTTGTGAAACAAAATGTATATGGTGATGATTCTAAAATAACTTTTTATATAAAGTTTGGGGTAGTTACCTCACACTTCTCCAATGTTTGGGGTATTTAAAATATTTTTCCCAAACATTGTTCTACTTCCATAATATATTCCAATCTATTAAAAAATCGAAAAAACAAAACTTCAAAATAATACTTCACAGACCATAAGAAGTTCATACCTGGGATACTAATTGAGACATGCTTGTGTGTTGGCGTTAATGGCATGGAGTCTAGCAGTTAGGATTGAGAGAGAGGCTGAGATTGGCAAAGGTAGAATACGAACAGGAATTAAAATGTGTTCTTTCTGATGTTGATGGAGCCTGGGGGGTATGCTTGTCATATGGAAAAAGCTTAAATTGCTTCTTAACTAAAACATGGGTGAGGCTCGTTTTTAATAAGCGGCACTTTAATGATAGAAGATGTTTATTAAGCACACGTTTAAGTGCCACTACCCGTTTACTTCACTCTCATTAATAACCTAAAAGTGCTATTAACAGCTTAGTAAACATGTCCTAAGGCTGTAGGCTCCATTCATTTATAAGCCTTTCACTTATTTGGCTGAAATGGATGATACCAAATGCCTTCTTTATTATAATAACAATACTACTTTCTTGGTTTCATCAGATAGGGGTATACTATGGAAACCCAGAAGTCACTAGTGGAGGAATTGCGCTAAAGTTTTTTGCTTCAGTTCGACTTGAAATCCGTCCTATTGGCAAGATAAAGTCTGTAAGCACATCATCATCATCCCCTTTGATGAATACCTCCGCCCTTCTATACTTGTTCCAAATTATGTTAAACTTTTCTTGATTTGTACATCTTGTGGCTTAAGGCCAAAGGAGATGAAGAAGTTGGATTAAGGGTGCGTGTAAGAGTTCAAAAGAGTAAGGCAAGTACCTTGATTCTTATTTCCTTCAAGGAAACATTGTTATTTAGAGCTCTTGATGTTAATTTCTTTTATGGCCTGCTTATCAAATAAATATTGCTTATTAAATTCTCTGTGTGCACATGCCTTTGAGACTGAGCAGACTTGAGCAAGTGGTACCAAAATATCTTAAGAACTCCTTCCATCCCAAACCATCATCTCTCTAATCCCAACTATGTTGGAGTTGTTGGCATAAAATTTTGTGGGTTCTAATAATTTTTAAAACTAGTTAACAGTTTAACACTACTTGATTAAGAAAACATATTGGCAAAATTTTACCCACGATGACCTTCATATTTCACCGTTTTTACGAAGTATGCAATTCCAAATCCATTATATTCATATAGTTTTCTTCAGCTTGCACTGAGGACATCCTAAGACCTCTATTTTTAGAGATAAATGACAGGCATGTAATATTTTTGTGACATGCAATTCCATCTTCCTCTCCACAATCATAGCTATGTTTTGTGCTTTGGAATCCTCACAGTATACTATATCTTGTTAGCAATGCTGAGAGTTCACTGTTGTTCTCCAGGTATCAAGGCCATACAAGCAAGCAGAGTTTGAAATTACATTTGGAGAGGGAGTGAACAAGCTGGTCTCTGAAACTACAATGATCCTTATAAAGAATATATATTGCATATTTTAATTGCTCGCTCCTCTCTAATTTTAGACTTGACTCATTGTATAGGGATGCATACTGGACTGTGCAGATGCGATGGGAATAGTGACCAAGAAGGGTTCATGGTATAGTTATGGTGACCATAGGTTGGGACAGGGTAGAGACAAGGCTTTACAGTTCCTGAGAGAAAATACCCTTCTCTTTGAGGAGTTAGAGAAGGTAAGAAATGCTAATTGTTATTTATTATACTCCTTCCATCCACAAAACATTGCCAAATTTCATTTTTAGCGGCCCCAAGAAACTTTGCCATTTCCATATAAAGTAATAAATATGTGGTAAAGTAAATTTTCTCTCTACACAAATCTCAATCACACCGTTTTTATTGATTATTTTATGTGTAAGTCAAACTTGAGCGAGCTTTATGGAACGGAGGGAGTATAGAACAAAACAAGAATCATATCATCTATTGACGATTAAACGCACCAACCTTGTTTTTGGAAAGTCTAGATTGTTGGATCATCCATTGTTGAAGGAAGTGGGCAAGTAGGATCCTTTTTTGTGAAGCACCACTCACAACAAGATGGAGATATGTTTGAAGAAACCAGTTGACTCCCCCTCTTATCCGACATTGATAAAAAAACATGCACAGAACTGACAGAAGTTCCAAGATGATGCCGTTCGTGTGCTATTACTAGGGGTGAGCATTTTCTTCAAGAAAGTTAAACTACATTAGTCCAAGAATATTTTGTTAGGATAAATGCAACATGGGTGCATTGTATCTGCAGTAGATATTTTGTTAGCCCCTCGGGTTTATAGGCCAGTGGTCCAGTCATTATTTGGCACAGAGATGACTTTATCTTATAAGTAATATCTGCTGTAGTTTTTTCATACACATTCCCATGCTTGTTGCAAGTGGGATTGTAAATTCAACTGCAGCAATGTGAGATCATTTTACCTTGCAGTTGACCTAAAGCTGGCAATGGATTAGTCCATGTTGAGAGCGAGAGTTTGTGAGAGGGAGCAATTGTACAATTGTACTAAAGCTAAATATTGCTTAAAAAAAATTAAACAATGACTATACATGTCAATGCCCTTGATTTTAATGTCACTAAGTAACAGTGACATTGCCACTAACATACTGCGACCATTCTACATGTCACTGTAACCGGTAGTGGTAAATTCTAGAGACTTTCTGACTTTCTCTGTAACTTTTTGAGCGTTTTTTTTTTGTTTTTTTTTTAATTTCTTTTTTTGTTGGTGATAGCTGGCAGTAGCGGTGGATTTGTGCGTTTTTTAGTAATTTATTTGGAAAATTATTTCCAGTAATGGGCTTTGGCAACTGTCGCCGGTTGAGGTGGGGTTATAAGCGAATTGAAGTGAAGGATGAACATTTTTATTCATATAAGTTCTAGTATTTGTATTTGTTTACCAATCAAATCATATTTTCTTTCGTGTTTGATACTTTGATTCGGTTGTTGTATGCAAATATAGGGATGGATTCGGTTCGGGCCACCCGGCCCGGCCCGGTGCTGTGCGGACCCGGGACCGGCCCGGTCGGGCGGTCCGGGACCGGGTATGGACCCGAACCGATGGGAAGGGGCGGGGCGGGGCGGGCTCGGTTCTGCATTTTTGTGACCCGGCCCGGGTCCGGGTCTATTTTTAAAAAAAAAAAATTTTTTTTTGGGTTTGGGCTCCTACTAGCCGTTGGGGGTGGGGCTGGGCCGCTGGGGACAACCCAAACGGCTATATAGCCGTTGGGTGGGGTAAAGAGGGGGTCCAGGGGGGTTGGCTGGTGGGGGGTGGTGGTGGGGGGTGGGGGGTAAAAAACCTATAAATACTCCTAATCTTAAACATTTTTTCATATCTCTTCTCCAATTCTTCCTAAATCCTATTCTTAACTCTCTACTCTCTAATTCTCTTATTCTCCAATATATTATATATCTACTCTCTAATTCTCTTCTCCAAGAAGTTAAGATGGAAAATCAAAATGCCATTATACGGTATAATTTTGATAAGCAGAAGGACCCGAAGACCGGGATGTGGTACGTAATTTGCAAATGGTGCGAAAAAAATGTATCATGGGGACTTCAGGCGGATTCGGGATGGCAATCAAGCATATGAAGTCATGTGACAAAGCCACAAAGGATCGGGAGGTGCGGGAAGTTACGATTGATTACAATTTTCAAAATGTTTCTCTTAAAGTTTGTTTTAATTTTCAAATGTAGTTCCTATTTCATTTCAAATAAATGCAATTGAAGTTTGTTTTTAATACTCGTATAAAACTATAAACTATAAAATATAAATTATATAAAAAAAAATTAACCGGCCCGGCCCGAACCGGACCTGACCCGTGACCCGGGCGGGTGGCCCGGCCCGAACCGGACCCGTCCAACCCTCGGGCCGGTCCCGGGCCCACTTTTCTTGAACCGGCGGCCCGACCGGGCCCGACCCGGCCCGAATCCATCCCTATGCAAATATATGTTGTTTCTATTCAAATATTCTAATCAGAACAAAAGAAAAATTTAAATCAAGTGTATAATTAAAACTCTAATTTATGGTGAATAGCTTTTCCTAATTTGTCAACATACAAGTCATAGAAATCTAGAAATACCGGTGGGCGTAGCTCAACTGGTAGTGAGGGAGTGTCACAAGGGTAGAGTTCCGGGTTTGAATCCCGGCAACTGCGATGAAGGGTTACTATGCTAAAATGCATAGGGTCTCGGCAAGTACCGAGAACAGAGTTTCGCTCTCTATCTGTCAGATTGGGATTATAGTCCAATTTACATCCTTCCAACGTACCGTCCGATCGGAGTTGGGGGACCTCAGGGATGGGGTGTCATCCTTTTTTTTTATAGAAATCTAGAAGTGTACTTAAAAGGTAATTAAAATAGAATCAATTTAAATAAGTCATTATTGAAATATAGCTGTACCTCAAACGAGTAATTAAAAATTGCTGAATTAAAAGAAGAAAAACATCAATTTGGTTTCAATTAATCATGCATTAGCGTATTAAGGGAGTGGTTTAGTGAACGTGAAGTTTTTTCAAGAACCCTCTTGAAGAAAGGGGAAATTATTTTGAAAGAATTACATAAATATTATTTGTGAGGTTTAGTTGAACAAAAATATGATCATTTTAAAGATGGACAAAAAAGTGACTCCAGCTTAAAGATGGACAAAAAAGTGACTCCAGCTACCAACCTACCACTTCTCCCATAACTCATTCGCACTCCGTCTCTCTCCTTCATCACATCCCCTTCTCCTTTAACTCTTTACTTGCTTCTCATGTTCATCATTGACCATGAATCCACCACCAATGCAATGCCATCGAAGCATCGACGACTTCTCTTCATCTTCTCCTTCGCTTCTTCTCTTCGCCATCTTTGTTCACTAGCTTCAAATCTATGTTAAATTTTAGAAAATCGTCAAAATGGGAGTAAAACAGGAGGTAATTGCAAAACTAGGACTCATTGTTTTAAATTCTCTAAATAGGAGTAAATATTTGCATTTGGACGGAAATAGCCTCCGATGCCGTAACATCACGTTGCCATCTTCTGCAATTCATCGCAAACATCTCTTCATCCCATGGATCTGAGCTCGTCATCGACTCTGGCCTCCCATCGCATAGGCAGCCAGGTAAGTCCTCTGCTTCTTCCTCTTCCTCTTCTTCTTCTTCTTCAAATTTATGGTCTTCTTATTTTTTGCTTCTTCTTCTTCTTCTTCTTCTTCTTCATCTTCTAATCCTCTTCAGTTTTCTAGTCTCCTATTCTCTTCTTCTTTTTCTTCTTTGGATTTGAATTTTATTTACTAATTTGGATTTTTTGGATTTGAATTTTACTTCATAAGCAAAATGTCACTTTTATAATCTGAGAATGTCAAAAGTCTTACTAGTATTTGAAAAAATTGTCATGTTTGTAGCAGTACATTTATCAGGATGACAATCTGAAAATGTCATATGTTCATAAGATAATGTCATTATCTTGTCATTTATTCATATCAAGTGGCATTCTCATCGGAGGCTGCACAGACTTGAATGACATAAAAGTGTCATTTTTAAAAAAATAATCAGTAAATATGACATTCTTGATTAAAAAATGACACACTCTTCAGAATCATTACTCAGGGCATTTTGAGATTGAAATATATCAAAATTGATAAGAAGAAATTCTAGTTAAGTATATCTTCATTGGAAACTTTCACATTCATGCAATATTTTTTCAAATTTGATTGATAAATTTTTTAAAAAAAAGAAAGCAGAGAATCAGGAACAAGGCTACTAGAAGAAGATGAAGATCAGAAGAATTAGAAGAAGAAAAAGAAGAAGAGGAGGAAGAAAAGAAAGAAAAGTACCTGGGAGAGAAAAGAGCAGATGACGCCGATGAAGTCGTTGATGATGGAGATCGAAGTTGCGATCGGCCAAAGGGAAAGTGGCAGGGGAGAAGTCTGGCGGTTGATGGAGAGTCGATCGATTATTTTTAGAAGAAGGGTAATAAGGTAATCTGGAGTCCTATTTGTGAAATATAAAACTTGTAGTTCTACTTTGGAGTTTTAACCATGTTTTAGTCCTATTTAGGATAAAAACTTATTTTAGATCTGTGATAGTGATTCATCCTGAGACGGAGGGCGAAGTTAGGCTTGGACTCGGGCCGAGTGGCCTGACCCGGTGGCCCGTCTGATCGGTCCGGGTAGGCCCGGCCCGGGGGTTCCCGGTGCGGGCTCGGGTCACCCAAAAGCCGAACCGGCTCGGTTTCGGGCTTTTTATTTTTTTTTTCAATTTTTTTTAACTTTTCGGGTTGAGCTGGATATTTTGGGCCATTTGGGGTGGTTTGGGGGTTGGGGGTGGGAGAGGGCTTAATTAGGAAAAGGAAAAAAATTAAAGAGAGGCCCGGCCCGGACTCGGTGGCTACAAGGGGCCGGTCCCGGGCCCACCTGTAATAACCCGGAGGCCCGAGTCCAAGCATAGGCGAAGTGGGGGCTGTTGGGACTAGGGTGAGTTTTAGAGGGGCTAGGAGGCTGGGGCGATGAGGGTGGTGGTTGTGGGAGCAAGGACGTGCTGCTGGGCGGTGCTGGGTGTAATACCCCGAAAATTTGAGAGAATTTGGGAAATAATTAAAATTGTGTTTCATATTGTTTACACGGTCTTTAGGTCGTTTATTATGTTTGGTTTAATGTTTGAGACAAAGGAGAGGTCCAAATGGGGAAGAAACGGGGCAAAAACTAAGGTTTGGGGCGTCTGGGGGTCACGCACGCGTGCGTTCCTGTTGTATCCTAATGCAACTCAAACTTCGGAAATTCACTATAAATACATCCCTAATCCGATTATCCTCATTCCAAAAACCCTAGGACCGCCTCTCCAAGCTCTATCCCTTCCATCTCTTCAATATTAACGTATCTAGCACGAAGTTTTATGCCAATGATGAGATCAAACAATCCAATATTCCGGTAAGTGCGTTTGTTGCCTAATTCGCGTCGTTCATCCGTTTCCTAAATTTCTTTCTCCTAAATTGAGATCCTTCGAACCTATCACTTCCTAGGTACGTGCGAATGATCCATCAAACTAGGTTTGCCGTTTAGGATTCGTTGTTAGCCTCGAGGTAAGGACTATTGCAACCAAAATTACTATTTTGCCCCTATATTGTATAAACTAGGGTTTGTGCTATGATTTGAGTTTCTTTCTGAAATTTTATGGATAATTCGGCTATAATAGTATGAGTATGATGATGTATGCTTTTCTGGGAATTTATGAACGTGTGATTTTTGGTGAATTTATCAAATCAGTTTATCATGGCTAAAATTGTGATTTTTGATGATTGTTCTTTTGGTATTGGAAACTTTTGGTGATTGTTTTGGTATGAGTTGAAGAATGATTTGAGACTATTATAACTGGTTATATTGAAAATATATTATGGGTTCAGAATACTCCAATTTGATTATTTTGGTGGTAGTAGTAAATGCTACTTTTGGGAGTGGTTGTTTGGGTTAAACCCTCATTTTGGAAAGTGTTGTGAGATCAAATCTTTTGGGATAAATTATATATTTTTAAATGAATAATTTGGTATTAAATTTTACATATATATTTTGAAGTTATAAATATCCTTATTGGATTATTTTGAATATGGTATTAAATACTATT